AAAATGAATTTAGAAGTTAATTTTAGCAATTGAGATTATCCCAGAGTCTGACACTTCTATTTCATATTTGGAAATTTTACAAGAAAAAGACGTTAAAGGTGACCTAACACAAATCTTTATTTTAAACGTGAAAACTTTTTTTTCTTTTCAATCATCAACTTCTCTTACTTAATTTGCAGCAGTATACCCATATCACCCACAAACGGGGTTTATATCTCTCAGTTCATTCCATGCACAAGAGCATGCTCTATATATACGTACTTATGAACAAATTCTAAAACGAATTCAGTTATTTACAAACAAGTTGAAGAAACAAGAAAAGAATATCTACAGTCCAGTTAAAGACATCAGTTTTTTTTTTAAATTCTATAATCGATACAATGACCTTGTCAGTAGGCAGGGGATGGTCACTGCTCCATGGGACCTGATCCCATCTCTGATGTTTTAGATGTTCGTGTTTGCTCTTGGATTGTATTCAATTTGATTAGATTTTTCAGTCTGAACACTTTTCGATATCTCCATACCTTTCATTTATAATTTTTGATAAATCATCAGGTTCGTATTGGATAAAAGAAAAAAAAAATGTTTTTGAATCTAATAATCCTGGCAGTGTAGAGAAATTGGGGAAGGTAAGTATATTTCAATGACCGACATTCAATTTATCCGTGTATTGTTTTTCGGTGAAAACCATTTGCAATCTTATATGTAGTTGCAAAACTGTAGCTCTCTGCTTGAGAAAATTCGGACAGATAATGATTTATATCTGTCCGAATTTTCTCAAGCAGACAGTTACTGTTCTGCAGCTATCTTATACGGTCAATTGCATGCCTTAGAACAACTGTCAATCTATCAAGGCCCTAGAATACAAATTTATGTACACTTTTGATACATTTGGAACTCTAGAACACTATATGTCCTCATAATATGTATTATTTTTTCACTTAATGGTAAATAATTTACCTTATTTAAAGTGTCGTAAAAATTTGGAAATATTATTACGTCTAAATTTATTTTTCATTTAAGCAATATTCATTTGCGTTATTTAACTTTCTTTTCAAAATACTTTTTTTTACCCATACCAGTTCTGATTTGCTTCATTCTAAAATATAGATGAATGAAAATTCAAAAAGAAACGAACTCAGAGTATAAGCTATGAAATATTATTTTTAGATGATGTCGTTGGTAAAAATACCCTTGCTTATATCGCTCTATGCATCGCCAAGTATTCTATTTGTTAGCAGTCTCGGCTCCACTTGCACGACCAAATGCTACTAAATCTAAAAATAGGTAATTATGCAAGTCTTAAAGGTGGGTAATGAGTTAAGGGCATTAAGGGCATCAATGTTGGACTTAATACATGTACAATGTGTTGATTGTGGTTTTATTGACAATTAAACATGAAATATAGCCTGTCATTAATTGTAATGAAAATAAAGACATTTTTGTACATATCCAATTGACTTGAATTGTTATAATTTACACCCCCCCCCCCCCCAATGGTGTACACAAGATTTTTTTTTTCGAAAATGTTTATAAATACGTTTAATAACGTGCGCAGAGAAAAAGGTAGAAAAGAAGAGAAGAGTGGAAGGAGGCTATCAGAGAGGTATATAGAATGAAATATAAGATGTGAAAATCTGCTACATGTCTATGTATAAAGCTGCTGCCATTATTGCTTTTAACATACAAATGTCACAGTTTTGTACACATTTATTTAATAATTAAAAAGACGTTAATGGTAATCTAACAACCAAACTCTAACTTTTCTATTGTCAACTTCCCTTACTTATGCAGCAATATACCTTCATCACCTGCATACGCATACTGAGTTTATATGCCTCAGTTGATTCGATACGTAATAGCATGCTCAAGGTATGGACAATTTCTAAAACGAGGTAAATTTTTGACAAACAAGTTGATAAAATAAGAATTTCAACAGTCTCGTTTAAATTCATCATTAAATAATTTCTATGGTCGATACAATGACCTTGTCAGCAAATACAATTTATCATTGAGTCAAATGCTGACTGACGTTTTTCTTATATATTGTTAGTCCATTATTTATACACTGAATTGACGACGGATTTTTACTTCATTTCTCGAACATGACAAGGAGCACACGGCGGGTGTGACCGGTCGGCATGGGATGCTCACTCCTCCATGGCACCTGATCCCACCTCTGATGTTTTGGAGGTCCGTGTTTGCTCAGGTCCGTGTTTGCTCTGCTCCTATTTTGTATTGTTTTATGTACCTTTGATCTTGAATACTGTTTGTTATCTCCATATGTTTCATTTGCTCTGCTCCTATTTTTTTTTTTATTGTTTATGGACTTTAATATTGAATACTGTTCGTTATCTCCATATCCTTCATAAACATAATCTGTTTTTTTCTCCAATGTCTGTTAGTATTGTTACACATGTACATTGATTTTAATTGTAATTTTATATAAAACTATACATTTTTTTTAATTTTCTTTTAAATCAATGACTGTAATACATGAATGTATAACATGATATCCTGTAGCACTGTATCTCGTCATGTATGCACATTATATTTTACTCATACATTGTAAGTTATATACACATCAACACATCATGCATGTGTCTTGAAGCTCGCAGTGTACGATAATTAAGGCATTTATTTTAATGATATCTTTCAACTTGTGTTTCAATATTGTTCTAAATAAAGAGTGGACCAGCAGTTCTTGTATGTTCATGTGCATCGTCTTTAATTTGTTGCTTCTTGCTGTCTGTATTGTATTCATTTAAATTGTCCTTCTTAATAATGTATATATATATTTTCCATTATCTTTATCAGAATGAATAAGATTGTTACAAATTGCATCAAATATTATTAGCTTTTATATTCAATACCTCAACGAAATGACATCTTCTTTAATCTATAAGAGTTTCTTTGATTTCAAAAAATTAATATGCAATATCGGGTATTATATCACGCCTGAGTACCAGGTCTTCAATCAAGCTGCTCAGTGACTTGTCGGCAGGGGATGCCCATTCCTCTATGGCACTTGATCCCACCTGTGATGTTTTGAAGGTCTGTGTTTGCTCTGCTCCTGTTTTGTATTGTTTTATGGACTTTTGATCTTGAATGCTGTTCGTTATCTCCATACGTTTTATAAGTATATTATTATAAATCAGTATATTGTTACTTTTGTGTATATAAATGGTATTGTATGTCGTTATGCGCCATACATACAACTGCTTACACTTACCGTGACTTTAGATAATTTATTAGTATGGCAACTAGAAAAAATCATCTTAGGTTTATCTTGAAATGGCAGTAAGCTAAACAGCTGATGACGAAGTATATTTCACATAGTTTAATTTCACGTCTGTTCTGAAAAGAAAATACAACTAACAGCAAACATTCAGACTGCCATGACCATATTTTGTGAAATGGTTATTTGATATGAATATTTTGAAAAAAGGTATCTATTTCAAATTTTCAGTCTTTTCTTCCGGATGAATATTTTCTATATTTGTTATAAATACAAGTATATGTACCCACTCTTTATTTAAAACTTCTTATTTGAAATTTTTGAACACATTGTTAAGTTAAATTCATAGTTGAATTAATTCAAATATATAAATTTCCTCAACACATCCCAAGGAATATTTTAAGTATATTTATTTGGAAAAAAAAATATGAATAAAAATTAAAACAATTCAGTGCATCATAGCATCTTTTTTTTTACTTTATTGGTGTCTATATTCATTAGGGAATATATTAATTGTAATATTTCTTGTGAATAAAATCACGAATCGCTGAGAAAATTGATTTCTAGATTTAAAAAAATATATATTTGGATATTTAGGGATTGGAAGTCCATGTAGCTTATACTGTCTTAAATGTTATGTAGCATTACAATGCATCTATTGATGAGATTGAAACCGCAACGTATTGTTAGATTTTATAAGAATAATAAGGATTTATAAACCTATCTAGTGTCGATTTTTCACTGTCGCTGACTTGCATTGTATTAAAACTAATCATTTAAATAAGCATTACAGACGACAGCGATTCGTGGCGGGAATTTTTCATTTCTTCTGCAACAGGTCATTTAGTTATCGATTTGGTTTTTTACACCTTAGTCTTTGTTCCCCAAAACTTGGACAGAGTGTGTCTCTTATTAACGGGACAGATTTGCTAAATAATTCAACATGCTACCTTTTGAAATCAATCAATGAGAAAACAATTTTCCTTCAATTTGCTATTGGTGGGATTACGTTTTTTGTAAGGGAAATGTAATTTGAAGAAAATTTCCTTAAATTATGTCAAATTATCTTTCATAATTGTTATTCATGGTAATTCCTCTAGCAAACTATTAACCCAGTTTCTCAAACAGACTTTTTTAGCCTTTCAAACTTCTTATAAAGGCATGTTTGGGATTAAAGGGGTAAAACGCCATGCCTTAAAATAAGTATCAGTGGAATATTATCCTTCTTTCTTTTTTTTTATAGAAAGTGAAGAATTCTGAAGCAAATGTTTTATGCTCCCATCATGTGTAATTACTTTAAATTTCATGAATATTTAAGGGTAAAAAAGAATTAGTTCCAGAGTCTAGTTCTTAAAAAAAAGTGGTGATAGTAATTGACAAATTTGGTAAACATCCTTGACTTTTTAACTCGAAGAATATCTCACAATTATCTTGTTTAGTTCCTCTTGCTTCATTTATTTTCAATGTGTTCTCTCTATCGGATGAGAATAAAAAGACAGATAAATTTAGAAGTAAGTCTTGCTTAGGACCCTTTGAGAAAACAAAACTCGGTAGGATCTTCACATTAAACCCATTATCACACAGGGGTGCTTTACAACTTTAAATACCACCCGTTTGTCTGCTGCATTGTGCTAATATACCCTGGCATGATCCCATTGGTTCTTCCATTCCAAATGGGCGGAGGTAACATCTAAAAGGCGGGTAATGTTGATTAGTTCACGGGTCGCGTGGCACACAGTAGTTTGTTCACTTCTATGAGGGGGCAAGAAAAAAATCATTGAACGATGTTGGTTGGACCGATGTCCAGGCAAAGCAAATCTGGCAAAAGCTAATGTATGCGTTTTCCTAATTACTACTGTGACACGAACATCTCACAACCTGAAACGAACTTTTGCGAACTGATTTAAGTTTTTAAGACTTGCACGCTACATGCGTGTCCAATAAACATTCACTTTGTTTTAGTATAGTAGAAGCATGCATTTGGAATATTTGTTTACATTTTTCTGATTCAAGGAGCATTTCCATTTTTACCTGAAAAGGGCGTTGGTGAAATCCAGAAATATTTTTGACGACAAGAATTTTTTCAAGAAGCATGGTTCTAAGGGACAAGTTCCAAAGACAATGAATATGATTAGGTTATACTAGTGCTTGGAAGTAAATGACACGAGGGGGTTCAAAATGTATGCTACTAAACGGCGGCGGAGGACAGTCAAAACGTACGTAAAACATGCTTTACATTTTCTCGTTCTATTTTCAAAATATGGATGTGTTTTACTGTTTCAAAAATGGCTATTTGCTGTACATATGTGCATAAATATGAATGTAAACACTTTCATATAATTCATAAAGGAGTAATTAAAGTGCATTATTAAATAACGAGTAATATCTAATTATTCTATAAGATTGAGATAAATAAATTGTAAAGTAAGTACATGTTATGTGCACAAAAATTATACGTCGAATCTATAGCTAAAAGACAAACCCTTGAAATAAACACAAAAATATAAATTCTTGCAAGAAAATGAAATTTTGTTCAGTTTTGAGTTGATTCTTAAGTTGTGAATTGGTTCAAATATATTCAAATGAAATATATAAGAATGATTTTTGTAAAAATGGTAAACTAACCTCAACTAAACATGTACGATATTTTAGGGGCTCAAAACAGCTGATTTGTCACAATACATCTAGCTTAGCTAAAGCTTGCATCTGAAGACCTTTACAAAGAATGAAAGACAAAAGAGCTTTTATTTTATTTCGATGCAAATCTCGTCTCAAATCGACAACTCTTAAGAAATTGCAGCATATAAGGAAATGGATAAAGTTTCAGAGTTAGTGTATTCTTGACAATATACTTAGGATTAAATAAGTCGCCGTACACTCAAATTTGAATAACCAAAAAGTCATATGTCTAGCTAGTAACCTCCTTATATTTATGAAATATTTTAAGGCATTTTACCCCCTCCCCAAAAGAGAAAATTTATGAACAAATTCAGTAAGTCTTTAGTTGAAAAATAGAAAAACCTAAAAGATATCCAAACATAAAGTAATGTATAAAGGTTTTCAGGGAGTTATAATTTTAGAATACTTCTGGGAATATATTTGCTGCTATTGGTTTGTTCTCATTCAAAATTAAATATAGTACTCGAGATAGAAATGACATACAAATATATATTTAGATTTTTGTACGCATAATATCTTCAGTTTACTTCATTATCATGCATGCAATATAAAATAATATCACAATCATTGAAACAAAGATGCTGTAAATGTAATGTTCAAAGAATCCACTCATATCAACATATCTTCAGTGACAACAAGATGTGTAATCAAATCAACGATAAAAAGGTAATATCAATTATATGTAATTGTTATTGGTCGACGTATGACAAAAAATAAAAGTGCTCAGTCGTTCAGCCTTGATGAAATCATTGGAAGCAAATATGAACAATTAAATAAAAATAAAGCTGACTATTCCAGGAGAGCAATTTTCCGTACTTGAAGCCTACACTGGTCAGCTAGCTTAAGATCACAATATGTGTGTTTTTTAATGTTAAGAATGCACAGGTTATGATCACAGAAACAAACTTCTAAGGATTTTTATCTGCAATGTTTAAATCTAATGTTAGTATCACATTGGGTTAATGTCATTATTTTAGCACTAATTTTAAAACAAACCTGGACGCATTCCAGCTTAATAAACAAGGGGTAATTATAACCCCCGTCTTAAGGTTAATAGGAGCAGTCTTTATATTTAAAGAATAATCAAAGATGTCGTAAAATTTAATCAATACAGTTTGTTTCTTATCTTTTTAAAGATCTACTTTTGGTTCATTATGGGGATGAATTTCTTCTTTTTTTTTTTGACAAGAATTCAAAGAAAAAAATCTGTCTGAAAAATTTTATATCCTAAATATTTATACGCTATATATAAAGCTTAATACATTTTACACGCTTTTGATTTAAACAATTAAAAATATTTGTAGCAAAATGGAAAAAAATAACATATGTAAATAAATTATAAAAAAAGAACTCTTAAGCTCGAAGAAACTTCTTTATCATATATATATTTAACATAAAAATGCTTTTAATTATCAGAAACTGATTGAACTCGAATAGAAAGATATTTTTTCGACACATTTGACCAAAGAAACTCTACATGTATTCAGGACAGATGATACACAAAAACTTTTGTCATTAAAAATTGAAAATAACAATCTGAGTCACATGTATATATCAATGAATAAAATGTACATGTTTAACCGCGTATTTTTTTTTTTTATTTTTCATTCAAAGTTTCACAGAAATGGAATTTAGAGTGAAAGATATTTGCATAGATTTATAATGATGGCTGCAAGAGGTTAGAATTACATGTATGAACATCATAGAAGGTTTACAATTTCTTAATATTTTTTTGAAATTTATTAAGAGCATCCTTTGCCACAAAAATTGGCACAGAAATATATACCAATCAAGGTGTCCATTCTTTGTATCATCTGTCCTTTAAGATTATTCCAGCGCTGAAAACTTGATTTCAATCAAGATAATTAAACTTCAGATAATTAATACATATTTTTTACACCATACTCTCACTGAACTAGACATGTTAAGATCAAAACAATTATTGGAAAAAATGCTGATTACTGAAGGCAATAATCCTGTTTTTATGTGTAAGGTTTCCAGATGAAGCTAAATTAGTTGATTGGATTTGAATGGGTCTATGGTGTTATAAGGAAATACATTGATCAAACAGTATACAATGCGCAAAAAGTTTTTAGTATAATTTGAATCTCTTTTTGATTGAATGACTGTATGTGGAGCGATTTTTGTCAAGAAATGTTAATTATTCTATTATTAACGTTAACAATTCACCAAACTGGATTTAGATTTTATTCTTATAATGTTAAAAGAAGTACATTATTGAACTGATATAACATATAATCATCTGAAGGCAATATATATATGTATTTTATACAGGTATTTTATTTAAGTTATGCCATCAATGTGTTGATAATTGGTAAACTTTTATGAAAAAATAAACATGTATGTACCCTATTGTAATTCTGATTACTTTTCAAACTGCCAATGCCAATCTTTGCTTCAAAATCACCTCTTTGTTCTTCTGAAACTATACTGTTTAGTTTTCGATAAATTTTAAAGCCAGTAAGGTGACACAAAGCATACATTCCATAGATACTAATCTGGTATATACAAAATACATAACGAGTACAGGCAGAATCCATTTTAGATTTGTGTCTGAAATTTACAACATTTGCTACTTTTCTTTACAAATTATATGGGCGGAGTTAGGTTCGCCTAGAGAGCCGATCTGTTAAGGCAAATTTGTATGGGGCCGTTTGACCCCCATTGTATGCTGACTTGTTTTGGGTTGTCTAGATAGCGTGCAGCAATACGGAAGCACCTCCTGATTTTTCCATTAGTACACATTGTCATGCAAGTTTTGTTGATCTTTTTTCTCTCTGTTCTCTAAAGCTGAAGTTGATTAAACTTCAAAATGTTAAAACGTCTTAAAGTTCATTCAGTGATTTTTATTTCAAGCAAAGCATTTTTGCTTCATTCATCACAGTATTTCTTTGCCTTTTCATTTCTCCTTTTATACGTTTTCAACGCTCGTTAAACATTTCAGAACGTATAATTTTTTTTCGAATATAGTTCTTTCTAAGCAGAGGACCAAAAGATATTTTGCATTAGTGACATTAACAAATCTATTTCTGCTTTTTAGCAAAAAATAGACACTGCTAGATTCTTTTACGTACCTATATAATTTTCCACCAAATTTAGATTATTTATATAAAAGGATGCTGAAACTCACTTTTGTCACTGTTCTGTAGAAAGTTTTCAATATTCCATAGTATATATGGATGCACCGTAAGTAGAATTTTTATTTTGAGATTGAATTCTATTTATTTAATATAGATTTCATACTTTTCGGGTCGCATTGTCTCACGAATATACTTGTATCTTGTGGTGAATTATTATCATTTATTTTATTTTAATGTTTTAGCGAGTATGCGCTTTGTTAAAGAATACAAGGATTCTTGGCAATATAATACATGTAAATATCAGAATACCAGATACTTTTCAGTGAAACGAAATTTTTTCACAAAAAGAAGAACAATACAGTAATATTTTGATATCATTTATTTAAACGAAAACTTAATTAATATAAAATAATTTGTATTGGTGTGATACGATGGCTTATTAGCCATCTATGAAAGACGGAAAAAGATATTGTTAATTTAGAAAAATTAAAACAAAATTTTCATTATTTTTACATACTAAATATTGTAGTGTTCTTAATCAATGGGGGATCGACACCTGATACTTTCTTGGAGGCAAATTCGAATGATGTTCAAAGTTATGTTGCCCATTTTCACAACAAGTCCATTCTTTGTTTGGTTTTGAAATAATTAAACAATTGATGCAACAGACAGTAATAAACAGTAAGAACAAAGTATCTCGATACATGTGTTCGATTAATATTCAAGTTTTATTATGAGAATTATATGTGAGCACTAACATGTTTTAAATCCTTGTTGAAAAGGTGCAGATCCGGATGAATGAAGAGATAAAGAACATTCACTAAACAATTTTATTCAATATTCTGAGACAGATAAAGCAAGACCAAAACTTATGGAAAAATCTACCCACATTCTGTAGGTTTCCTTCACCCAACCCAGAATCTCTCCTCAAAATTAGTAAGGTGTAATTGAGATTTAAATTATTCTATTCTTGTTCAGTGAAGTGATGTCGACCCAACACTGATCGTACCGGGTTCCCCGAGATCTCGTCCGTCTCGAGATTTTGATCAACTCGACGTATAAAAAACTTATGTCTTATTTCAACGTTTAATTGTTTCGTCGCTTCGTTTCTTTTATGCAGCTGACAATGGACAATGATTAATTTTGTAAACGGTATTGAGGCATCAAGATGCTTGAAACATTAGGTAAACTAATACCTTCCACTGAATGGAAGTTCGCAATAATTTGTTTCTGAATAAATATATTTTTTTAAAACTGCAGTCAAGGCACATTGTGAATAAAGAATTTAAAGGTACAGAAAAAAAATTGTTGATGTAAAATGATCCTGAAGTGTTGAGACCTGCAAGAGTGTTTAGAAACTTAAAAAATCCCTTTGCAATCCTAAAAAAATGTTCTTTCTAGCTAACGACGAATTTGCAATGTTTCATACATTTAAA